GCCCCTGAAGCCTTCTGAGGCTTCAGGAGTTTCCCTGAAGCCTCCTGAGTACAAAAACTCGCCCTACGGACAAACCGGAAGTTCAAGAATGGACTTCTGGTTTGCTCGTAGGGCCATTTTTAGTCCTCCGGAGTCTTCAGGGAAGCTCCTGAAGGTTCTGAAGGCTCCGGGGGGCTTAAACCGGCCCCACAAGCCAACCAGAAAGTCTGTTCCTGAACTTCCGGTTTGCCCATAGGGCCATTTTTTTGCACTCCAGGGGCTTCAGGAGCTTCCCTGAAGCCTCTCGGGGGTCTCTGGGCAGGGGGGGGGGTCGGCTGTTTTCGCCCTCACCAAGCTCCTATAAAGCCTCTGGAGCCTGGGGAGGGTGAAAAAAGCATGCAAAAATGGGGGGAGGCTGTCATATGTGCATGCGTGCTGGGGGGGTGTCGTGCATTGCATTATGGGTATGGCATGCCCATGCATGACCCCCCCTGCGCCCCCCCCAGTTTATGGTACACGAGCCAAAAAAAGTTCGCAATCGCTGATATAGGGTCTCCAGCCTGAGCAGCCTGAGCATGGCTTACTATGGTGTGTAAACTCACCAACGTCACTTGCTTGTGAAGGCAAGAGCTTTCTGATTTGCTCTTGCTGAAAGTATGTTATTGTGGTTTGTTATGGCCACACAGATTTGTCTAAATTTGGCTGGCTTCCTTGCCACCTTCTGTGCCACTTGTAGACAAAGATATTATAAAGCCCCTTTAATCTTGTGGCCTGCCAATTTATTAAGTGGGTAGTTGGATGAAACTTTTTTTCCTTATCCTTTTGCCTTATGATTTATTGCCAACCATAGATGAAGAAGATTTTTTTAAAAAAACGTTTAAACTAGTTTCCTTCTTTGCTACCATGTGCACCACTTATAACCCAAAGTAGTGCAAGCTTCTATTGAAGCTCTTGTATCACCCAGCTAAAAGGGAGAAAAAAAGGTTACACATTCACAGACTAAAGTTAGATAGAGAACAACAGGGATTAATTCCTCCTTTAGTTTACCAAATCCTGAGAAAATAATTCTTTTAAAAATATCTAGAATTAAACATTTCTGAATTTTGGCAGTACAGCAAACCACCAAATGAACTATGGAAAGTTCAGGATTAATGTAAATATTTAGAAGGAGGCTGAAAAGTCTTGCTAATCTTAAAAAGGGGAAAGTAGCAATATAGCAACAAGATATGTTTTAGCAGAGGACATCAGCGAGCAATGAAGTCTAAACTGGTGCTGCTCTCAAGCTAACATTCTCTAGATTTCCCCATCTGCGGAAAAGCAAGGTTCACTGAAAAAGCCCGTCCTCTTTGGGCTTCTCAACTCACAGATTCCTACTCTTCCTTACAACTAGTATCTCTAGTCTTCCTACACATCCACTCTCATCTCTAAAATATGGAAATAGAAGGTCTAATTCCTTCCATCATAGCCATGCAACTGTAGATGAGATTTGCAATGTATCAGCCCTCATCTCCTATGAGACATTCCTTGAAGAAGAACAAGCTCCAGAGTTGGGTGATGATGCCCCTATAAAATGGATAATTTAAATAGCAGCTCGTTAAATTGAAACAAGTACGTACTCAGATTATATGTATACAGGTAGACCTCAACTTCAAACAGTTCATTTAGTGACTGTTCAAAGTTGCAGTGGCACTGTAAAAAGTGACTTATAACCATTTTTCATACATACTTTCAGACTTTGTAGCATCCTTATGATCATGTGATCAAAATTCAGATGCTTGGCAATTGGTTCATACTTATGACTGTTGGGTGTCCCCAAGGGTATGTGATCATCTTTTGCAACCTTCTGACGAGCAAAATCAATGGGGAAGCCAGATTCGCTTAACAACCGGGTTACTAAATTATCAACTGCAATGATTCACTTAACAACTGTGGCAAGAAAGGTCATAAAATGGAGCAAAACTCACTTAACAAATGTCTCTCTGAGCAACAGAAATTATGGGCTCAATTGTGGTCGTACATTGAGGACTACCTGTACAAGCCATGTTGTGACAATAACGAACGAGCAGTTTGTTAACAATTGTTAACAACCAATTTCGTTGTATTTAAGTACAATGACAATAAAGATTATACTTAACAGTTCAAAATTTACAATGAGCCCCGCACGGGTGCTTTATAGTTCATAAAACATTGTAAAATGTGGTGTCAGCTCCCTCTGGTCACATGACCACATTTTGGGTGCTTGGCAACCATGCCATAAAATTGATTCTGGTCATATCAATGTCTCAATTTACAACCATAACAATTTATGACCCACAAATCCAATCCCAACTGCGGTCATATAATTTGAGAACTACCTGTGCTAAGAAAGGAATGAGTGTGGTGGTCACATTCCAATTTCTGAAGTGATTGTTTTGTGTCCTGGCCTTTTTTTAGCCCTCCTTCGTAAGGTAGACACAATTCCTAAAACACATGGAGTGTTAAGAGAAAGGCTTCTTCTACAAATCCCAATAGTAAAGTGGTAGGTAAACAACAATTGCTGTAATTCTAGATAAGAATTAGGTGAGCAAGGCGAATTTCCAAGTAAAGCAGTCCAAAATCAAGGGGAACAATTACAATGCCAGTGCAAGGAAGTGATGAGATCATGGTGAGTCAACAAACCAATACAATACAATAGCAGAGTTGGAAGGTACCTTGGAGGTCTTCNCACACACACACACACACACACACACACACACACACACACACACGTGTTATGCAAGAAGAAGAGGCAGGAAACCTGATTTCTTGAGCACTGTTCAAAACCTTAAAAGGCTAACAAATCAATTTACAGTGTCAATGTTAAGAATGAATATTATCGCAGTTTAGCATGCTTCCTTAAAGAAACTTGGTGGAAAGCGTTCCTGGCCTTAAAACATGAAAATAATTTGCTATAGTCCTCTCCTGGCCAAAAGAAATCCTTTTCTTTTTGCCAGTATGCCTGTATAGCAACCTTCAGGTGTTGCCAGGATAAACAAGAAGCACCTGTCCGCAGGGCTCTGTTCCTTAGAAAAGCAATGCTTTCAAAAGCATGCATAATAGCCTTTAACTGATAAGCTGACAAATCAAAGCAAATTCAAAAAAAATATTAGTATTGCAAAAGGTAATTAACTCTATTAACCTGGAAAGGTGTTCACATTCAGAATAAAATATAATGGCAACTGATTGCTTTTGATATTGCGATTCAATGTATTCTTGCATTTGTCACCTATTGTTAAATGTAAGAGAGCTTATTTCTGAGTAGCACATTAATGATTGTATTAAACAGCTTGCTACACAAGTGGGTATCTCATTGCAATGGGACTTGCCTTTCTACAACAATAGTTTTCTTCCACACTCATCTCCAGATTCAAAGGAATCCGTTCTACTGATTGATACTATACTATTGGTAGATTGAAATTGCTGGGTACATTCTTGTGTTTGTAGAATTGAATCATACAACTACTCAATTCTACAGCACTGTATGAAAAGAGACAAACTGGTTATATGTAAATCCCTGTCCACAAGCTGTTTTTAAAATGGCTATTTTTGGAAACATCGGTGCAGGTGTTGAGCAAAACCATTGCTGGATTTACCAATGAAATACTAATTACTGTATTATTCCGTTCATAAGATGCTCCAGACCATAAGACGCTCCAAGCTTTTGGGGAAGAAAACAAGAAAAAAAAATCTGCCTCTTTCTCCCAGCATCCATCGGTATTCATCTGGCTAGCATCCTTGCAGCAAACAGCAAACAGCCTGGTCAGCTTCAGCAGCCTGATTTAGCATGAGCAGCTGATTGGTGGTTGGATCAGCCTTCAGGGATACCACCAATCAGCTATTCCAGGCTGTGGGGATAGCTGCCGCCCGTTGCCACCACCACCTATTGCCACCA